CTCAATAGCTATGATCTAGTAAAGTAATACCATGTAAAAACTGTCAAACTACACCCATGTTTTTTTTTCTTTTCAGACATCATGAAATAAACAATTACCTACTGAATTCAATTAAACTAAATCTTTTTTGGCTAAAATGCAAACAAGTTAGTATTAATACAAATTATGTTACTATAGAATATATTAATATACAATCTGATGAAACACAGCTTCCCCATTGCATGTGGGGAAGTTATACAATTTTAAGGTATGCTGGAAAAGATCTAGTTAGGTTTATTTGGTATTCTACTGGCACTAATCATCTTGAACTGTGTTAATCGAGCAGCTATCGTGCAACATTCTATTGATATCACTTATAATGAAACTCTGCTTGATAGCTCTAAAAGTAAGGGTCATAACTTTCAGTCCCATTTATCTTACAATCAATAAATTACCCTAACTTCAGATGATCAAGAGGTAAATATACAATACAATGTACCATACAGTACCACAAGATAGCTCAGAAAGCAAGAGTCACGACACAACTTCAACTGAGTTTTTGACCTCCTAGCTATGGTATCAAGTTGTATAAACTGGTAGTGCACTAAGAATTACATCCTAGTTTCATGGTAATTAAATAGAAATCAAACAATGTAGTGCAAGCATTATATGGTGAAAATTACTTGATAGCTTGAAAAGCAGGAATCAACATTTCCTTTCAGTTAGTGATCCTACAATCAGTGACTCCCCTAGCTCTCATGATCAGGTTTAATCCCAACCATATTAATTGAGAAGTCATTGCCACCAGTTCACTTATCTAACTGGACTACCTCCTCTTCTGACAGTTTACCACAGGCTGGGTGGTCATCTACAGACACAATTGGTCAATGTATAGTACATGCTTTTGTGCACCCTGTTGACTGTTGTAACTCATACATGAATGAACTAAAATGTTAGAGAACAATAACGTGTTAATCCAACCAGGGCCAAGAAGCATATGTGCTACTTGTACATATCAAAGCCACACTCAGTCTACACTTTGGTACATTCTTTCCCTCACTCTCTTATCGTAGCACATCTTCTGCATTATGGTTACCTTTCCTTGTTGTTTGCATACAAACTCGTGTGCAGCAACTAAAGCAGACCTTATCCACTCTACATATTCTTGTGGACACTGTGCGACATTGATCTAGTTAGAGGACCATACAAGACATCTACAAGGAACATAACATGAGCATACTCTGTGAACAACTTGTTAAACCCTCTTCAGTTGCACAGTATGCCATCATGATGGCAGAGAAGTGATCATCCCAGTCTGTCTTGTCCAGATTAACAAACTTAGCAAACATACACTTGACTCACTGTATCACCCATTCAGTTAAACCATTATAATGTTAAGTGCATGCCTTCACCACACCCAACATGTTACACAACTAAGAGAACAATTGGTTGTTAAAGTTAGCTCCCCAGTCCATGTGGATCTCTTTTGGTGCTCTGCCAGTGCATCAGAAATGACAGTTGCAGACAAGTATCCAATGGATAAGCCTTGGCCTAACTTGTAAAGTAGTTGGTTATTATAAATGTATACAGATGACATCGTTTCGTCTCTAGAAGTAGACCACTAATATTCATGGTTATTCTCTTCAAAGGAGAACCAACAATTGTTTGTAGAATTTACCCTGTTTAGGCTAGTTTTTCTTATGATGGAATACACTGTACAGTGTTTACACAAGTTCTCAACATCTTGACTCAAATGTAGCCATATGAGAGCCGCCATCTAATATTAGACCAAGTTTTTGTAACACCATAGTGCCCTCCAATTTTTGTTTTGTTTGTTTGTAATTAAGCATACAGTTACACAATGGGCTATCTGTGTTCTGTCCACCATAGGTATCGAAACCCGGTTTCTAGCGTTGTAAATCCGCAGACACAGTGCTGTGCTACTGGGGGCTCCAATTTTTGCATTATGCAAAATCTGCCTCAAAGCTATGGGTACCACTAGCTATAACACAGGCTGAGAATCACTTCTCAGTGGTTGATAATTATGGTACAGCACACCTTTCTATACTCAAGTGCTCATACAATTTACATAGCTAGTGGGCATAAGTGCTACACTCATTAAAATGATCTAGTTGAGCTTTACCTTGCTTTACGGCAAGGAGTGCCCATGCTAGATCCAGATCCTTCAATTGCTCTTCATAGAACTCCTGAAGCATTTATTATAGTATTCATTTTCTAGTGAAATGTCATACTTTATTTCTTCTAGAGAATCAGGATATTCAATGAAGGCAGGTCTCGTCATTTGTTGAGACAATACATCTGTGTTTCCTTGTTGTGAACCCAGGCCAAAATGTATGATAAAATCGTGTTATCTAGTGTGCTATCATTCCTTCAAGATTTTAAAAGTTCATCAACCAACCACCTCAGTAATGTATGGTTTACTGAAAGAGTGAATTTTTTACCTTACAAATAGTGTCAAAAGTGGTCTTTGTAAAACACAGTATCTAAATAAAACAGCCATAAATGTATGACTAGCATGCACCATTACGTTCTTTACTCTATTCTGCAACTGCAATAACATTTTTCTGATTATAATATCATTAGTGTCAGTATTTAGCAGGAATTCAAGATCCTATCATAGTTACATCAATATCGAGACTTCTACTAAATTACTCTTCAGAAATTGGAAAGCTTACTGACATTCCTCACTCCATCTGAAGTGTACCACTACCTTAGTAAGAGCCAACAATGAGGAAGTAATCTTGGAGAAGGTGGCCATAAATTCTCAGTAATATGATACAGACCAAGGAAACTGCAGACTTCCCGTTCCTTCACAGGTTGAGACCGATCTCACACCACTGATATTTCAGCAGGATCTATGGAAGTTTCTTTTACACCCACAATATAGCTGAGAAATTCCACATCAGTGTGCATGAATGTATATTTTCTTGGCTTCAGTTTCAAACATGCTATATTTTGTATCTCTGAAATCCCAAGTTCATGTTCTCAGCTGCAGAACTGAAAATGTGACCAAACACTAAGATGCCATCAAAATAGATCAGACATTTTTTCCATTGCAGCCTCTTCAGTGTCAGCTCCATTAGCCTCTCGAAAGGGATTGATGTGTTTCACATGCCTAGTTGCATGACATGAAACTCATACAAACCATCTATCATTCTGAAGACAGCCTTGAGTCTTTTCTTGTCAACCAGCTTAACTTGCCAGCATCTGGATGACAGATCTACATTATTGAATGAGCAGGACATTTCCAACCTTTACAGACATTCATCTGTTCATGATAATGAAAAGGTCTCAATAGCGTTGCCCTGTTCACCTATCTAAAATCAATGCAGAACCTGGATGTACCTTACTAACAACCACTGCTGGAGATGACCAAGTACTATTTGAAGACTGTATGATTTTGTCCTCTAAAGTCCACTGTACTGTAATGCTGATTACATCCCTAGAGCTCCAGGAAAGCCAGAATGACAGTTGCTTAATTGGACCTCTATGTGAATGGTGTGTGACTACTGTTTGGTCTAATCGACAGCCTGATCCTATAAATGCATTAGCTTTTTTCATTAATCATACACTGAATTGCTTCTGCAGCACTGAGTCTAGATTATTTGACATTCTTCAGATAGTGATCTCAGATGTTTTGGTAACATGCTATCTACTTTTGGATGCAGCATGATGGATGAAACCCCAATATTACCACTAGCATCAGTTGTTTGTACTTCACTTGCTGTGTTAATTGCCAGTATGCAAATGAATAACCAATCATTTGTAATTACAGAACAACACCAGGACTTCATCCTCGCATTGGACAGATAACTGCCCAAGCAAATGGTACTTGCTTGCTGAATAGAGAACAGTATATTTCATGTATGAGCTCAATAATCATGTGGTGACATGTCCTTGTCTATTCTTTCCAATTATGTGTGACTGTTCTAAGGTTATGGTTAAGCACTTGAAGACTGAGTGTGTACGAGAACATGTTTTGAAACATATTGTTACGCCTCTAATCGTTTGTTAATTTTCCGTAAAAATGCTTTCCGAAGAAACTTTAGCGATACAAGTCCTTTCTTAAATAAAACTAGTTTATTCTTTCTCAATACAACTTTGCAATACACTTAATTTCCACAGTCACGCTATAACTTAAACAAACGCTATAATTCACAACGAACGAACGATTCACGCGTTTGACTCAATTGTCGTCTCTATCTCTGTCTGCAATTCAATTACATTGTTGCTGTCAGTTCTTGGCGGTCTTATATACAAGAATACCGCACATCTAGTAAACACTCGAGGCTTCACGAAGGGACATGAATTTTCTAGAAGCTTATGACGTGTTAATAGCGTCACGTGACTTCCGCTGTCGTAACAATATATACCGAAGTACTAAATCAAAATGTTGAAAAAAAGTGTCAGCAAAGGTATATTCGTATTTTATGTCAATGTCTTTATCACATTAGAAAGAAAATAATGCTTGAATCAACAAACATTGCCCCTTCTCCCTGCCACAATGACTCAGCAACACGTTAAGGACTAACATTGGTAAAATTCGGGGCTCAATCCTTGCATGAGCTTAGCACAAATAGCCCGTTATGCAGCTTTTTACATAACGAAAAATTAATAAACAGCAATGTCCAAAAATTCAGTGCAATAAAATCGCCTATAATTTAAGTTCAATTACTTTATTTAAGGTCACATGGATCAATATTTCGTCCTTTTGGTATTTCCAAGTGGAACCCCCCCCCCCCCCCCAGTGGTACAGCGGTATGTCTGCGGACTTACAACGCTAGAATCCGGGTTTCGATACCCGTGGTGGGCAGAGCATATATAGCCCATTGTGTAGCGTTGTGCTTAATTACAAACAAACAAACATATCTAAAAAAAAATTTGGCAACATAATCTATACACTTAGTTTCTTAACTATATCGTTATGTAATAACATGCAGGAGAGGAATATTATGAACATTAGTAGAAATGTTTTAGATACCCGATATAATTATTTATGTTTTACTGAAAGTTAAAAGGTGTGGTTTCAAAGCGGTTCGTTACACTGTTCATACATAGTTGCTATTTAACTAACAAACCTTATTACTGCTGAAGTATATAACTGAATTATAAGCGTATCGTTTCGATTTGTAGACTGTAGCCCATATAAATGATTATTCATACACATATCTGTGCGGTTATTAACACATGCGTATGCCTTTTGAAGAAATTGAAGTGTTAACAAAAACGTAAGCCTATCTATGGTACGATCTTGAGGCTGGCGTGAAATTGGAACTGAAAGATTCATTTAAACGTTAATTAGTATTGAACGAGTACCAAGCATGGCAGCTGGAGAGGTATTTTTTTACATATTACTTATTAATATTAGTTATTTATTATTTAGTGATTTTGTCATTTTTTATTATTTTGGATATTTTTGAATATCTGACCTAGTGATTAAACATTTTTGAAACGGTTGATCTTTCAACCATGGATATGCAGTAACACTAGTATTTAGTAATAATTAATTAATATTATTAACGTAAGTTACCTTAACCCTTTACTTTAGACCGTTGCAGTATAAATAGTAAAAGGGCTAGTACTATTAGTAATATTAATAGTATGAGTAATTTAGAGTTTTAACTTGTAGTGTTTACAGCTATTGACCTATATGCTATAAATAAACGACTTTATAACATCAAATTGTTATTTTTCTTTTAATTGGACACTCTACGTTTCGCTTTACAGCATCTTCAACTTGTAAACCTAAGAATATGTTTGACTAATAAGTTATTTCTGAACAAAGATATACAAAACCTTCTAATATTCACAAGACTATTTCCAACTATCTTTTCATAAGTAAAGCAGCCTTCTAACAGATACATTTTATGTTATTCTGGCCATCATGGACATACGAATTTCCAAATATTTTGAAGAGGAGTACATAAATTCATCTTCATAGTTTGCATCTTTATCATATATAAAGTCAATATAGTTTATATAGTAATGAGACCAAAGTGATTATAGGATCCTATGCTCATCTACTGATCTTTATTTTTACATGAAAAATTAGGATTTCTATAAATACTTCATCACAGGAGGCCGCAAAGTCTTATAAGTTAGCATGCCTAAATTATTGGTCTTTCTTCACAACTTAACATGTTTTGTCTTCACTATAACAATAAAAAATTAATACTGGTGACTCAAATATGGTAACAAGTAAAAGGTTTCAAACATAAACCTAAACTTGTTTTTTGACAGAATAAATTCTCTTGAAATTGCTAGTATATGAAATAGAAAGCCTGATGATGTGATGTATGGTGGTAATATGGTTGTTTTCATGTTTTTATTTTTTTAATTTAATAGATGCATGAATACAAAAAGGGTTAGTATTTATTGTTTGTGTCATCATTTAAAATTAAATCATCAGAAAAATTGAAAATTATCACACTATTGGTAACATTTCATAGTATTTGCATAATGACAATGACTTCCAGGATTTGCCAGTTATCCTCATGCGATCCAAAAGTATATACAGGCCATAGCTTGTGACAAACAACTGAATTGATTTCTGAGTTTTTAGTATCTTTTCATTTATAATAATTAACATATTAATTAATCTTGTGTGAGCCATCATCTCAAAGTTTTGGTTACAAATCATAAAGTGTAAATAGCAGCAGAAGTATCACCAAACTATTTTCATAGAAAAACAAAAACACACTTGCATGAGTCAAATGATATGGAATAAGCATATGTAAATCATTAACCGAACTACAACTACATATTCATCTTTGCAAATTAAATATTTGTTTCAACTTAGAAGTAAATTACAAAATAGAAAATACATGGTTCATATACAAATATATATATATATAATGATTGTAAGATCACATATATATTAGTAAAACTAAATGCTATTTGAAAACTAGTGTGTGAGGACTTAGAATATCCAACTGAACTGTCTTTTACTATCATTACAATTGGACTTACAGACCATAATCTTATCAAAGAAAGCCTCCTAACTATGAAAGATCACCTAGATTTAAGTAACTTACTGACATCATTTTGGTTAAAACTGTCCTAATATAATGACAAACAACCATCAATCATTATTTCTTGCATCCTAAATAATGACTAATGTGTTAATATTTTATTTCTGGTTTGTATTATTTTGTGCGTACTTCGTTACCATGCAGCTCATTTCATAATAGTAATAATAATGTTTTGATTGTATACTTTAACTTAAATGGGGACTTGTATACATATGTTTCTTTTACTGCAAATTTCTCTGTTTGTTTTTAAGATTTGTGTTATCAAATATCAGTTGGAGTTTGAAGTACAACTTGTTTCAAACTTTTCTGGTAATGGAATAAGTGTATTTCAGAATATTTGATTCATAAATAAGTTTTTCATTCTGAACTGATGACTTTTACTGAGTCAGTAAACTATCTTTTCTTTTATGAACGTATAAGAAAATATTTTTGTATGCTTTGCAGGAGCTGAAAGCTTGGAGGATAGCATTCTTTTTACCATATAATTTTTTCAGTTTGCATTTGAGACACCTCCATTACAAAATTGTTGAACAGAACAGTTTAAATTGCTATGATCTTTGTATCTACAATTTTCCCATTTTACTAAATTCTTTTTAAAGTGAAAATGTGATTTAAATTCTATGACTATACCAACCATATGTATAATACTGAATACTCCTTGATAAATGTAGTACTTTGTGAACTCGGCATTTGTTTCTCCTCAGATTAGAATGATTAAATCTTTCCCTTGTTTATGACATTGAAATATACGAAAAGGAGTTCATGAGTTTTTCGTAATCTTGTAACATTGTTACAATGCTTTTTGTAGTATATTATACTGAAATTTTTCACAAAATTGTTGCATATTGTACAGTTGAATTTATAACTTTTGTTTGAGTATTTTATGGCAACAAAAAACAATATAAGTCTCAAAAAAGTAAAAGTCTGGCATAATAAAGTTTTGAGAAGTTTCTAATAATCGTAAAAACCTTATTTTCAGCAACTTATTATTATATTCAATTTGTAGTACTATAATCTTTTGAAATAAAGACTGGATTTGCAGCAGTTTTTGTATCTTTTCATCCAAGATATTAAAGTAGCATATAAATCACTCACTGTATTGCAAGTATATGTTTCTTGTTATTTTACAACCTTCTGAAGGTTTAGTTTGTTTTTATTTTACTAGGGCAACAACACACTGTCTATGAGGGAGAAGGCTTTGTTGAAAAATCATGTCAATAAACAACATAACAGCAATTTCCGGGCAGGATATGTCCCTATTTATGAGCCTTATCTTCACAAGACTGGCTTACGAGGAAGAAAGGGCATGCTTTTTTACTGTTTAGTAGTGATTCTATTTATCATTGCCCTAGCTAACTTAGCAGTGAGTAATTTGGTTTCTAACAATCTAAATGATTATATGACTGTTATCCATGTTTGTTTAATTGTTTGTATTTTAACTTTTCATGGTAGTAAATTACAACAAATACTATATAAATAAAAGTCTTGTTTGTTACCATATTTTTTTAATTCTATCTTTTTTGTTTGATTTCAAGTAAACTATCTTAATGTGCTAAAGTAGCAAACAATTGCTAGTTGTTAAAACCAAGATACAACAATAATAAAAGTTTTATGTAAACTTTTTATACATTTAAGTGTGCTCACAGGTTTTCATAAGAAACACAGAACTTAAGAAAGGAAATACTAAAGAAACTGAACACCATTCTAATAATTATAGTACAAGTTATTAGGGCAATACTCTTTTTCACACAATGACTGATGAGTATACTGATAAAATTATTTGCATTTGGGAAGCATAGAAAATCTTGTATTATAAATTGCGTACCAGATACAAGAATTATAATAGTGCATGTTGACAGTTTACGTTGTAGTTGCTGATAACAAGGAATATTCTTTTTTTTTAATGCGTGTTTAGTAGAAGAATAATAAGCTGGAAGTTGTAAATTTTGAAGAGCTGCTTAAACAGTATAAATAACTCCTACAGAGGTTCAGGGATAGAAATAGATGTGTGGCTTTCACTGAGTGTTTCTGTGGGCTGGATTTAAGAATCAGTTAATCACCAGGATCTAAAGTGAAGGATAATCACGGACATGCATAGAGATTAAGTGGGCCTGTTGGTCCCATGAAACAGTTTTCAGGGTGAGGATGAATTATATGCTAGAGATGGGCTCCACTCAAACAGTTTAGGTATCAATGTCTAGGGAAACTGTAAATAATTTCCCGAATTTCTTTTCCCGGTGTTTTTAAAGACTTAAAGATCATGCATGTAAATCTCTCTCTCTTTTTTTTTTTTTGCTACATCAACAGAAAGTGGGCAAATGCTTGATGACTGGAGATTGATTAATGTTACATCCATTTTTGAGAGAATGGTAATACTTTTCCTGGAAATTATAAGCCAATTATTCTTACTTTTGTAATGGAAAAAATTCTAGACAGCGATGAACAAATATTTGCAAAATCATGTATTGGAAAACTTATATACCATAAAAGAGATCCAACATAAATTCACTAAAGGGAAGGAAATCTTGCTTTATTTAATTGTTGACATTTTGTTTTAGAATGAGTACTTATCAGGTTGATAGAAAGGGGAGTGGACTTGGTGTACTTGGATTTTCAAAGGGCTTTGTTATAAGGTGCTTCACAGAAAATTAACTAAGAAAATGATGTTGATGAGGGTTGTAGAAAAACTAGTTGAATGGAATGTAGGGTGACTGGGTGAGAGAAACATTTTTTTTAATGGTGTTCAATTTGGATCATCCTTGCTAATGGAGTACCTCAGGGGGCAGTGCTTAGGTCTTTGCTTTTTCTTATTTGCACAACTTAATATTAACTTTCAATCAAAGCAAGCTACCTACTAAGAACAAAACTAAAGGCAACTTAGTAATGAGTACAGCTGATTAAATATGCTTTTCTTATGTTCCTGCTGATATAGATTAGAATGCATTGTTTCATCAGTTGGAGACTTGAGTTAGTCCTACACACATATATCAAGTTAATAATACAAAACAATCTCTATAGTAAAAGTATGATACTAAAAATTAAAATTAATAAAATTATATATATATTAAACATTCTAACCAATACTGCTAATTAAAGTGACATTAAAGAAACAATAGAGTATATCTTACCTACAAAACACAAAATACTAGCTGTTATCGTCAAGTAATGCCATGTATAAACAGAACTTTCTACAACCCTCTGCAAAAACATCTTGACCAATAAAAACCCATTAAACAGCTCTGACAATGCAACTTTAGAAGAGTGTGACATTTGAAATAAATTGTTATAGCATATTACTGTTTAGGTGAACAATTGAGTAGAAGGATATTACCAAGAATATGAAGATATATAGTGATAAGTTAATATACCTGAACCATACAATAAATAGCTAGAATATTGGTTCTTTATTTTAAATGTAACAGTGTCAAATGCAATACAAAGAAAACTATTTGTTAAAGATACTATGAGGTGTGTAACACAACTACATCCATTTTAACTAACTTCTGTCACTTAACAAAACACATGGATCAGGCCACAGGAAGTAATAGATAAAAGTTAAAAAAACTAAAACAATGTGGTGATATTCCAAATAAATTACTTAAATACAAAGTTAAGTCTTCTGTAAAAGCTGAATGTAAACCTGATAATCTCTTAGAATGTTTGGTAATAATGATATGATTTAGAAGTTACAACAATAATAAATATGACAAATAAAGTAATTGGTAAAAACTAATGTAACTTAACTAACGAAGTAATCTCATACCGTACATGGAATTGTTACAGCAACTGAGTACAAAAGTCATAACTAGAAGAGATAATTGTTTGCTTTTCTTCTTTATTTACTGTTCTATGTTTTAAGAAAAGTAAGTTTAAGAACTTATTTCTAAATAGCAATAATCTATATACATACTTAATGTATAATAATTGAAATTTAACTGTATTTTACAAAGTACTAGTCTACTAAAACACAGCCAAGACAGGTCACTTTGTAAAGACTAAAGGTCAGTTTTATATTATTTGATACGGCTACATGAGTGCACGTGTGCAGCATCATTGTAACTTCTGTATTGTGAGCCAGGAATGGCTGAAAGGTTAATATGACAAAAATTATACATATATATAAATGTATACTGTTATGAGATTTAAGCTATTTAGTATAAACATTTATGTTTTTGTGTTATAGTTTGTAGTCATTCTAGAATGAAAAAGTATAATTTATATTTATTTCCTAATTTTTTTAACATGGTTACAAGATCGGTCAAATCGATCAGACCTGTACAGAGATTCATTACTCAAAATAACAGATAAAATATAAAGATTATATCTTAAGAAACATTTGATAACTATCTGGATATTATAAAGATTTTGCATGTAAAAATTTGAACATTTTCTGATGCATAAAAGTATTTTTAATCTTAAAATGAATATTACTTTGCATGATAGATAAGCAACATGTGAAAAGAAAAACAGACATGAGAAAAACATTGCTTTACAAGCCTTAAGACTTAACAAAAAAATTTAATATTTTGCATATGAAAGCATTGTAATGTTTACTGATAAACTGCCAGATTACATTAACATACGCTTACTAATTTAAAAGTTATAGCACCAAAACTATAGCAAGCACAAAATGGTTACGAGGTCGGTCCCAGGGACCGAGCCCGTGCCGAATGAGTTAATGGAGTCAATTGTACAAGATTTTGTGTTATAATTAAGGTAAGTAAACTAAGCTGAATTATGTGTATTTGCAACTTTTGAAAATTACAGCTTGCATTCTATCCCCCCCAGAAAATACATTAATAAATAACCATTTTAGAATTAAAATTTGAAATGCTTGTGATTTTTGTTTTACTTTAACAACAGATGATGTTTAATGGATTTGAACTTTATTATTTTATCATTATCTCATTTTTCAGGTAACCCTCTTGTTACTGAGTGTCCTCCGGATTGGTTATGGAATGGAAAGCTTGGAATTTATCAGTCATGGTCTTCTGCTTCGATTCTTAAACCATGCAGACCTAGGAAGGGTTATTCCAGCCTATGGAGTTGTTGCAGGCTTTGGTAATGAAGATTTAACTCTTACTGGAAATAACCAGAAGGTAATAAAACTACACCTGTTTTATATGAAATCAGGAGTAGGTTTAACTAAATGATAAGATTGTTGCTTATGTGAAAAACATCTGTAAACCAGTATGATGTTCTTTATGCATATCTATGCGAGTATGTGACAGTATGTAAAAATGTATATTAGTGTCTTTTTAAGAATTTGACATCGATGTTGGTATTGATAGATTTTCATATATTATCAGATGCCTCTTGCAAAATATTACATAGTTTTCCTTTCAGAATAGTACTTTAAAGAATTTTGTGCACAGGATCTGTGTATTTTTATGGTATCAGGTTATTGCTGATTAGTTTGTAGTTACAAGTATGTATGAGAGTTTATTTAACAAGAAAAAGGATTCAACAAATTATTGAATGAATCTGGAAATGCAGCTGAAGTTTTAAGAATTTCGGTTACAATTATTAAGTGTATAATGTATAAATGTAACTAATCAATTATAGGTCACAATGTGGTGAAATAGTGTGAGAGAAGGTCTGTTACAATGTTTATAGGAAATCAAGTTTCAAATCTTAAAGCAGTTTTTTGTTCAGTTGCACTTAAATCAGTGCAGGGGAGCAAGAAAGCTCAGATGTGTAAAATAGTGAACTTAGACTTCCAGATTAAACAATTTTTGGAATACTAAGTTTCTTTATTATATATGTTATTGTGTGGCTATATAATGTGAAGAACCGAATAGTGGCCATTGATACTTTCTTTACTTCACCTATCCAGTGTATAGGTTTTTCTCATAGTGACTACAAAGCATGTTCACACCAACATTATGTTTGATGGTAACATATTTGTTGAAACAATATGTTATAGTTATGTGGAAGAAAAATTCACTGTTTCTAAAATGTTTTGATAAGAGTTTTGATTTTTTTCAAAGGTTATTAAAGTTTCAGAGGCCTGTTGTTAAGTTTATGTAAAATACTTGTACCAATTGTGACTGCTTGTGATGATCTTTATACTGCTTGTGGCATTTTTTATAATGTATGATGAATCTGAATAACATGACTATCAAATTAAGTTAATGTCAAAAATCATCAACATTTGTAGGTGTTATATTGAAGTTCATTGTTTTGGGTGTTTCAAAATTTATTATAATTTGCAATATAAAAAGAATGATTCTGTTTTATGATAATTTACTTACGGAATTTCAGACTGTCTTCTATGTAAAAAAACAAAAAGCAACACGTAATGTATAACATATATAATTTTCTTGGAGGGAGGTCTTCCATGTGGTTTTTTTTTTGTTTTAACTTTGACCCATAATCAGTTTTGTGGCCTACACATTATGATTTGTCTTGTTTTGAGACTTTCTTTTTCTGCACTATTATTAGTTGTTCTCATTCTCCTGATTACTTTCATCAGGCTCACCTATCTACTTTGACACCTTCCTTATCTTCAGGTCTTACTGCTGAGAAAAATGCCTTTTTTCTGAGTGTATTTTAGGTTCAGTTTTTTTATTCATTCTCCTTTGAATCCATTTATGCAAATTATTTTCTGGTTCTGGATTCTAATTAGTCTCTTCTTGGCTAAATATTTCTTGTAGTCTAGAGTATCATCTTCTTGCCCTTTAGCATGTTTTATATTTTTGGTTTCTTTTCATGTTAATCAATTCCCATCTCCTTTACAATGTGGTCATTCTGGCTTTCAATATTTCAGAGGTAAGTTTACCTTATTTGAATATTAAATGTTTAGAATTTAAATGAATTTCAAACAGGTACTTACCTCTGAAGTACTTCCCACCTGCCTTACCACATCTGAAATTTCATCATAACTGCAACTTTCAATAAAATCTAAATTATCGTGGGAAAGCAGAACTTGTGTAAGATCCCCTGTCATGCAATAAGTCGTGGAAGGTGAGAGAGTGGAAAATTATGGGTTAGTGATGCATACTCTGGATTGTGTAAAGAACATTTGGAAATTTTCAGTCACATGTTTTTGTTGACAAACTCAACAACAAAAAAAAACTTTCATTGTTTCAGAGGTAAGTACCTGTTGAAGTTCTTTCAAGTTCTAAAAATTTTTAATTTTATTTATTCTTCAGTTATCATATTAACCTAGTCTAATTAGTGAATGTTGTGTGCAATTGGAGTTGTGTATATATACGCTAAATTCATGCTATTGGTTATGGCTATACCCTTTTCCTGTTCTACAAATTATGAATATTCATTAACTTTGCCACCTCTCACTTGTGATGTTTGTTTTTTGTTCTTTCATAGTATGTTGTTATTTCAACTTATTATGTGATGTTTAAGTTCCTTACATATTATTTTAATCTTAAATTGGTTTTGTGGTTATTGATAATGTTATTATTCTGGTGTGAATGTTTAGAATTTTTTTAGCATAAAATTGTTTTGGTGATAATTATTTTTACAATATTATTGGTTCAAGATTCTTATAATTGAACAATTGTTGTGTATTTTGTGTGATTTTTGGTTCAGACCTAAAATCTAATTTGTGTTAAGCTGTTAATGTTTTGTAATTGTAATGTAACAGTAAGATTTTGAATTATGACCATTTCCATGAATGTGTTTTGTGATGGTTTTCATAAATATTTCTGATAGCACTTTATATCATATTTTTTACTTAGTGTTGTTACTTCAGACTTGTATTGGGATGCATATTTCTTATTTTTTGACTATTTGAGATTTCTTTTCTAAGTTATTTTAATGTGATATCATATTAAATACTTGTATATATTTTTGTTTCTTTTGTCAGTCCTATTGTTACATCATTTTGATACCAATAAATATTTTAACTATTTTTCTTAAACATCTTATAGATATGGCTTAGAATTAAAATATTTTGTCATATTTTATGTGAAAAACAAATCTTGGCACATTCATGTTAAATTCATTCCAAAAATATTAGATTATTAAGGTCTTATATGTAATTACATTAATTAAGATAATGCACATTTTACAGTAAAAGGCCTTGGATTCAAATAATTTAGCTACTCACTTTTAAGCTAGGTGACTTTAATAGTAAACAGTAAAACATTTATGTGATATTGATAGTGAAAAGTATAAAAATGAATTTTCTCTAATTATTTTACAAAACATTCTATTCATTCTAACTGATAGGAAAGTTTGTGCATGTTAATTCTTTTTTTTTATGTAGACTTATCAGTTTTAAAATATTTTTTAAAGCTGTAAACAGTCTTCACATTCTAAAAGCATAACATGGACACATTTGGCTGGAAAGGATTGAACGTATAAATTATACATAGACAGTAATGTATTGAAAGGAAAATTTTATTAGAAACTTTCAAAATAATATAACTTAAAACCCTGTTAAAATGTTGTAACACTTCCTTCACTTCAACATCGAAGTACTTTTCCATTGTTGATTTATGTCTCGTCAATGTTTATTTGGTCATCAGATGTTGATAGAAATTCATCTCTAGGGTTAGTAGAAAATTATGTCTCTCATAAAATTATGAAAGTTTACCTTTATGAATATACATGATTTCCGGGGTATATTTTACTAAAATTGAAAGTAAATAATTGTTGTATTTTCTTTCAGGTGATAATTCAAGCTAAAAATGAAATTGGTGCAGCTCCTCTGATTGGTAATGGTCCAAGTATGGAGGTTGGAGTTGACCAAATTTTGATTCAGAATGCAAATGAATTCCGAGTTAGAAGTCCCTCAACTGGCCATACTCTGTTCTCTACCAATTACAAGGACTTCAAACTTCCACCTGGAATTTCAAATTTAGCTGTGAAAGAAGCTCATGTATCTAGAGTAAGTCATAGTGAACATTCTGCTGATATAGTATTGCTATAGTATGTGGATATATATATATTTATTTATTACAGATTAACCAGTGCCTGTATTAATAGCTTATAAAAAATGTAGTGATCTTCATTTTGTTGTCAAAGTTCCTTGTCAATTTATATTTAAAGTTTTACATAAAAAGTTATCTGAATCTTGCACATGAACTGTTCTTTCAAAATTAATAGGCTTAACTCTGTACTCACAGTAGCTATTCCTTGCATGTCTACCTTTGAGATTTTGCACATGCTGCTAGCCATGAGCTATCTCCTACCTAAGACACATATTATAACATGAACTGCGCTAGTGCATAATATAATCATAATGTGACAATAGCCCTTCACCAATAGGAGGGTAACACACCTTCCATGTGCAGTAGATCTCCATAAGCACTTGCACTCAAAATTAACTTCATTGTTATCCTTAGCACTGTCTTTAACAGACATGTTTCTGTAAGTTTATACATAATGAATTTTGTGAGACTTGCCCTGATTTTTCTTACCCATCTCCTTCATTATCTGTCCCCTCTTCATCTCATTGCTGAAACTCTACATCATGATCGCGATAGTTTTTTTAGGGATCTGTGGTTGGTCCTTTTCAATGCCTTGGCTAAGGTTTGGTCTTCTGTTTTGTCTTTGTTTACTCGATTCTTCTGTTGTATGGGACATGATGCTTTTTTCGCTACTATTCTTACCTCTGTGACCTTTGTCTTGCTCCTTTTCTTCACCCTGAAGTCTTCTGGGATGTTCTTAATGGTTTGGAGACTGAGGCCAAGGCTGTCTGATACCAGCCCTCCCTTTCCTCATTGGTTTCTCATCTCACATCCTTGTGGGTCCACTCCTGTTCCTCAACCATGTGAACCCTCCACCTCTATCTCTTTTATGTTTCTCGTCCTTCTACCACTTGTCACCCCCCTGCCAGATTAGCCATTGCATGTCCTGTCTGTGACTCCCTCCCTTTGTACCCAGTCAGCTCAGGCCTGTTGTGGCTGAATGATGGTCATTCAAGTTCTTACACGTGGCCTTTCTCTCCATTGGATACTATATGCAGAGAGATAACTATTGAAAGTTAACATTTTCCTTACCTGAAAATGTATTTCCAACAAATTCTTACCTCTCTGCACACAACCATCCCACCTTTTCTATCTACTACTGGTGCACATTATTCTTGCCTAAGAATGAAGTTAATATTGAGTGCAAGCACTTATGTGGATCTACTGCACATAGACGATGTGTCACCCTCCTACTGATGGAGGGCTATTGTTGTTTGTTTAACACATCATGCATTAGAGCAGTTCATGTTATAACAAGTCTTTGGTGGGAGATAGTTCAAGCGTAAATGCACGAGGAATAGCTACTGTGAGGTATTCATCGGAAATACATTTTCAGGTAAGGAAAATGTTAACTTTCATGATAGAAGAAATACTGACAAGCTTATTTGAGATACTGATTGTGGTTAATTAAAATGCCATGGTAACTTTGGAGGTTTATGTTATGTGTGATAACATTCCTATACGTTTCTATTGTGGCTATATCTTTGCAATGTGCAATATTTTGTCATATTGCTGTATCAGTAAACACAAGAAGATAAAATGATTAAATTGTTTATCATGTGAAAGTATTAACTTAGCAGTACAACTGCTAATTTCAAGCATGCCACATTGTCTGTAGAATCTGTTGGAGACAACTACATTTGCAGTTTATAATGTGAAAGTATTAACTTAGCAGTACAATTGCCAAACTCAAGCATGCCACATTGTCTGTAGAATCTGTTAGAGATAACTACATTTGCAGTTTATAATGTGAAAGTATTAACTTAGCAGTACAACTGCTAAACTTAAGCATGCCACATTGTCTGTAGAATACGTTGTAGATAACTACATTTGCATATTAAGGATGAGATTTGTAATGGATAAACCCAAATATCAGTTTTAGCCAAGATAATTAAATTTAATAAACAAAATGTACATAACGAAATGTAAAATCTCCATCACAGATTTTATATGTAACATAAGATTTGATTACTCCATATGTAAACATTTTGGAACATTTATAAAAGGAAATTAAGAATATTGTAAAAGACTGCTGTGATGTCATTACCGCTTTCATTTTTAATAAAAGTTGTTGCAAAATGGGATTAGTTTGTTTTGTAGAAATAAACAAAATAATTTTCAAATCCGGCTTAAAGAAATTAGTTACATATTTGAATTAGAAAAAAGTAAGACATGATAATAATCTAAATCATATATATATATATATATCTCAAAGGTAGAGAGCTAGTAATAAATATAATGGCATTACAGACCAAAAAGAAAAGTCTTAAAACATGAATGTATTTATTCTGTGCTGAATGTTAAACATTTTACATTTTCATGAAATTGTTTTTATCGAACTGAGTAGGATAATAGTCAGTGCATTTTTACATATATTTAATCTACAAGCATATACTGTGATATCTAAAAATGGCAAACTAATCATAAGAAACATTACACACTTTATTGTTTTAATTGTAACAACCAATTTCATTTAGTAAGAACATTTTTATTTAGTGTTTAACCAAAGATTTATTTTGTTACTATGTTAAAGTCCACACACTTTTTATTAAGATTAAAAGAAAAAGAAGAGCCTATAAAAAATCTTTATTTAGACCACACACACAACACACACACACACACACAATAACTATTTAATAGAATATGTATGTATGATGTTATTTATTTTTCGGGAAGGTTAAGCCAAAATTCAGTGATTAATATTTTAGAGAGAGAAAAATGTTTACATGTAACTGTTAAGTGGACCATATGATACACGAATGTTGTCAGTAAAACATGCAAGGTGCAGAAAAATAATCAGGCATTAAT